TTTTAGACAGTATTCCGGAATAAAATGGCCATTTTCCCNTTCTGAACTAGACAAAATCGCTCGACAACATATATATCAGTCTGAAAGCCGAGAATCTCAGCTATTCAACGGTATCAACAGATTATAACCTTACCGATCAAATCCGAGCGCACAGGTAGATCAAATTTAGTACACATGATATAGGGCTTGGCGATAGCTAAATGATGTAGTATTAAAAATTAACCTACAACTTTTGAACTAGGCAAAACCGCATTTGTAGAATTTTTCCGGCTGTTAAAATCATTCCGGCTGTTAGCCTGATATTCTCGAATTGAAAACGTTTCATGACGTTTGCGACCGATGTGGTTCAGTTGCAAACAGTACTCACAACTGTGAAGTGCTTATTTGATGAAATAAAAGACAGTGTACGGCTTGAACGTTGAAGCTCTCTTCGACCTTCGTGTATGGCGCCATCGTCAGTGCGATCAGTAACATCCATTCCGTATTCGAGATATTGTCCATCGTTGATCCGATCAATCAATCGATCACCTTACATTGTGCCCGTTATCAGCGCTCCTCACACTACGGTGATGCATAATTGATGGAGCGAAAAAAAATTTCCCGCTATTTTCAGTGCATCGCTACGAAATCAACCATTCCCGTTTGGAGCGAAAGAAAACATCTCAAAAATTCAATCAAAAAATGTCAACATCGCCTCCTATACTCGTCGTAGAAATTTCGAACATTACTTACATCCTTCGCTTGACTGACACGACTATTAGTAATAATAATGGTTCTAGCAATAATCATAATTATAATAATATAATGATAATAATACAGTGATAATAATAATAATGATAAACCAATAGTAATAATAATAGTAATAATAATAATAATAATAATACCGATGCAATAAAGAACAAAACTGCAACAACCAACAGAACAAGGCGGACGGATCTCTTGATAGCAAATGTAACGCAAGCGATTGTTTGTACGCTTTTAATTTGCGCTTTTTTATTCCTCATGTGATCTAATTATTGCTATTGCAGTACAAACTGCAATCACTGTCACTGTTTATTCCCACTAAAGCACTTTCTTTACAAAACAACCAAATACAACAATTAATGCAGTAAATATTACTTGCAAAATTATAAACTATACGCATTCAATACCAACATTCAGTAACAGCAACACACAGAAACAAAAACAAACGCATTTCGCTAGATTACTTCACAAATTCTGAATGAGTGTCCTTTGAAGTTATACCATCCCGTTCCATATAATTCAATAGATTCTTCAATTTTTTTGCTTCCTCGTCCATTCCCTTCACCACTTTTCTCGCCTGTAACCACTCAAAAGATTGGAAGAATTCAAAAAATATTGCAGATCAGATTTATGATCGATATCAACGAATAACTAAGTCACGTTTCTTTTGTCGCACCTTTGCTGAACATTATTTTTGCAGCTATTCAACAGAACAACAATTATCTTTTAAAATCCATCTCATACCTGTGCCGCTTTACGACAACTTTTCATCCTGGAATTCCCTTTCACTTCTAAATTCTCGACAATTCTCTCGTATTTAACAGCTTTCGCCTCGAATTGGGCCATTCGATGAACGGCTCGTTCTAACTGAGTTTCGATTCGCTTTCGAAGGATTCCGCTATATTCACTCTGAAAATTTTACAATCAATCATCTGACAAATAATGAATTCACTTTCGAATCCCGATACTTTCAAGCGATAAATAATGGGTAATGATGCCTAATCTTCAAAGCCCCAAAAAATTTCATTTAGCTCTCTCACAAAAAGTGTCACAGTAATATTCAGTAGCCGGAGCTAACATCAACACGATAGGTTTCTTTCGGGACCAGATTGCTTTGAAGTCGGAACCGAAATTTGAAAAATGCGGAGCTGGGGCGGGAGATAAAATTTCAAAGATGCGGAACTAGTGCCGGAGACGGAAATTTCAAAAATGCAGAGCTAAGACAATTTTGTCAAAACACCCATCACCGTTTACGAGAAAGGCAAACGCACGAGCTGACGTAGATGTCTGATCAGAAACAAAAACAAACAAACATTCAGCAGAAGTACGAGTAGAATCGAATATCCTGATACTGGGACGACCAACTGCGAATCGTTAACTTTTGTAGTAAACTGATGGTAGGTGCTGATCGTGAAATTACCCAGATCACATAGCAACACTTCAATATCATTCATCGCTTCATCACAGTACACGTCAACTGAAAATCTCTTTAGGCACGAAAACCACGATAAATAATGCAGTGCCATTGAGATGCATCGAATGACAATAAAACTCTACAGAGATTACATCCTTTGCAACGACAATGTTCGAACACAGTAAATACAACAGTTTCTTGCTAGCTCTCGACTTTTTTGCTATCGAATTCAACATTTTGAGTTTTGCGTGCAATCAATCGTTAATTCATTCCACTGAGTAGTTGATTTACTAATTTGAAAAAGTTACAAGAGGATATTCTCTCGAAACCTACCATTTAGGGGCACTTTTACGGGTAGTTGAAATTGTTGTCTTAAAGAACGAATTGTTGAAACGATTGCTAAGCCAGCACACACTCGTTTTTCCAAGTCGTTATCAATTGCATTTACGAAATCGTTCTGAAATATTAAAGATTTATGGAACTTTGATCTTCGCATGTAAACTTTCTCATCAGTGGTAACAAATGAATGAGCAATGAATTCGAAATTTTGAGAATAAATAGTAAAAATGAAAATGCATTAGAACACCTATCTCGTCATCTCACCTCTTTAAGACGTTTGTCGTACAGACTGAGATGTTTATCTGTTTTAATCGAATCAAACAAATATTCACTAACGAATGGCATAAACATTGATAAAAGAACGAATGAGTGCTCCAAAATTTCGTGAAGATTGTCCGATATTTGCTTCAAACGTTCCGTATCGTCGTTCCACAATGCTTTCTTCGTTGTTTCCTGATCAAGTAATCAGAACCAGTTATCAATTCTAAACGACTTAATTCCAAATTTTCATTTGTGCAAAGGAAGAATTATCTTGTTCGATCTGTTATTCAAATACTTTTAGTCAATACAGAGAAGATGTTGCACTAACGAGATTAACTCTGCATGAAAGATGCATTCTCATATTCAGTGCAGCCAACAAGATAATGATTCAGTTTATAATGCAGTTGTCATTTGTAGAATTTTGTCAACGACAAATGAGAAATGGAAAGAAAAGAACGAAAAAGTTTCAAATGCAAACGAACCAAATAAATATCACACAACTGCGCGAGTATAAATCGATGACAACATTGAAATGCCAAATGAATGGCTCCTTGATCGATATAAGATCGCATTGATCGCACAGTATTCCCTAAGCAACTTCGAATCCACCGGTCCTGAAATAATAACAGTAATATTCAGTGGAGCAAATTAACGATAGATTGCGTATAAAATTCAAAATGTTGAAGACTTGAATGCATCGATACCGACATCGAGCTCCAGAACCAACTGTGTTATTTCCAAATGAGTTGAAGCTTCACCAACTTCACGAGTGCCATCTTAACGACCCCCTTCAGATCTCCGATGCAACAATTTTCATTTGCAGATTTAATTCAAATGTAAGTGAAACTCACAGCGATATGTTGATATTTTCGTTCTGCACGATAATCACGCTCACTCCCAACTGAATGCTTTGATGATGACGACGATGGTGTTTTGAACCATATTCGTTTAGCATATTCGCACAGATTCCATAATTTATTGCAAAATCTTCAAAATACACAATTCATTGATTCGTGAGCGAACATGGAAAATGATATCACAGCTGATAAATGCTTCGTTGAAAACAATAAACGAATGCATACAGTGTATGAACGAATGTTAATTCATTAACCTCAATCCTTCAATCGCTTTTTCCATGACGTTAACGTTCACATCAAGTGCGTTGAGATCATGACGCAGCAACGCAAATCGTAAAGCATCTGGTCCACACTCCGTGATACCTTTCGGATACGTTTTTTGAAGATCGCTTATTGCTATCTCTGCAATTCAACTCTTATCAACGCAGTAATCATTCGCATATTCTATCTTCTGTATTTAGTGATCACACACAACACGCTGCTAATCACTGAACATAAGAAATGATATTACAACCGAGTTGAATTTAAAATGGCTGTATAAAGTCCAGAGAGAAGATTCAAGAAGAAGGATTTTTCTCCCCATCGACGGTTGAGCGGGCATAATGAAACAAAAGAAAAAAGAATGGGATGGATAATCGATGTCCCGCAGTTGCTTAGAAAATCTTTAGGAATGAGAACGCAATCGCTCAAACTCAAACAACGAACAAAGAAAGTGTTTGTTGGAAACCCACAAAAACCAAATCAATCAAGCTATCAATACTTCTTTCAGAATCTGACAACTGCGATCTGCTCAAACGATCGACCATTTCATTTAACGACACACCATTAATGATATCGTTTGGATCAATAACGTTTCCCAACGATTTACTCATCTTTCTGCCTTTGCTATCACGAATCAAGCCGTGCAATAAGATTTTTTCGAAGGGAAGCTGACCGATCAACCTAAACTTAATTACAATTATCGATATCAGTACCAACGATAACTATTATCATAATTAATACATAAAAACAAAATCATCATCTTTGGAAACGCCCAATGCATTTTTTTTTTCGATTTTACACAGAGGAAATGCGAATTTGTGTGAAATTGCAATGAGATACAAACCTGTGGCAAACGGTAAGCATCCGCGCTACCCAGAAACCAATAATATCATGACCAGTTTCCATCAGTGATAAAGGCGTTGATTCGATCTGCTTCGCTGGCCAACCTGCGGAAAGAATCTTATCAGGGAACTCGTCAATTCATAATTAATACGATCGTTAGCCTACAGTGTTGCCGATTCCATTTTTTGATTTCATAACTGAACTTGTACCATTCTCAAGAAATTAGTAAGAAATAAAACAAAAGCTTCATATCAATAAAAATAAGAATCACTAAAAAGCAATAATAATGGTAACCATTAACAACAAGTGGCACTAAAGAGGAACTGAACCACGTATCCAGCACGTCACTATCCCGTTCGACAATTACATCAAAATCATCCTTACTATCAATACCAAACCTTCGTCTTGCATCTGCTTCATTCATTGCACTTATCCATTCACTAAAAACTAAACACCAATATCCCAATCGCTTTGTTCAACAAAATACAAATTATTACTCTAGCGCCACAATAAGACTGAAGGACTGCTGAATGAAAGTTTATCGATTTTAAGGATCTGCAACTAATATTGAAAGTACCAGCTTTAAAACTAAAAGCAGCTTGTAAATCTACAACTAATATTGAAAAAGCAACCATGTTGACCAAGAAATTACCCCGTTTGAATATTCCGATAAGCAGGCACGCGATGTCCCCAAACCAGCTGTCGACTCAGACACCATGGCTCTTTGTTTTCCAGCCATTCCTCAAGCTTCACACTCAGGAGTTTCGGGGTCACAGTCACCTATGATCGTCACATCATTCAACTTGTGGCTTGTGTTTTGGCAAAGTGGTAAAAGTAACCATCGCCTCATCACTAAATGAATGGCTAACGTGAAAGTCGAAAAGATGGATGCTGATCGAAGTTACTGATAATATTGAAAAAGAACTTGCCTGCCCTTGATGGAGAGCCTCTAAAATTGATGAATTAATTTCGTCACAATTCAGCCACCACTGTTCCTTCAGCATTGGTTCAACGACATCACCAGTTCGACTACAGATTCCTATTCTAGCATCTTCATTCACTGCTTCACCCCCATACGCATCCAATTCACGTAATCTTTCTATCACCTCGAAAAAAGATTTCCAATTTTATATGGTCAAGTGATTATTTTCCTAGCTCATTTCCATCTGCTCATACAAAAGTGCAATCATAGAATAATGTTCGGCATCCGGAAGAATAGCATTATACACCGTAAAGTATCGATCGACGAAGGGAAGAAGAGTTCAGCACTGAATTCATTTCTGTAAAACCGAAAACAATGAAAATTAAATGGGAAACGAAAAGTGAAAAGTCGGTAAAAAATGATGATCGAAAAATAGTACTAAACACACAGTCCATTACAATCAATGATAACGAAGAACAAAGAACGACGAACAAAAGTGACATCCACGATCAAAGCAAACCTACCTTCGTTCTGGCCTCGAAACGATCCATTCCGTCGAATAGTGTATTTGTATTAATTAATCGAGCTTTTTCATCCAAACAATATTTGCCCAATAATTTTTCATCGATTTCATCTTTGTGTCTGTTTGCAATGTCGAAATCAATAAAGTCGTGATACGGTGTTATTTTGAGGACCCCTGAACAACAATTCAATTGTTATCAACACCGATAACGATCCCCATCTAATTCGGCCCTTCTCCACCTTTCTAATCAAGTCTTCTCGCTAAATTTTCTTCACTCATTAATATGAACATAATTCTTCTGATAACAGAAGTGTAATATGAACCAGTTCCTTTCTGCATCTTGACACTTTCATCAGCAATAATCGGTAGAACACAATCAACCAAAAATGGATGTTGAACAAATTTGCCGATTAAATGATTATAACGCGAATCGTTCGGGTGAACGGCCAACGCACAATCCGCGAATATAGTTTCAGGACGACCTGTTGCCACTTCCAAATATTTCAGTCCTCCTCTACAGTGATCATTTTCAATTCAAAAAATATTCCAAAAACATTAATAGTATCATAATAATGTAATATATTACAAGAAGTAATACTGCTGAACATCATACAGTTTCACCGATACTACTATACATAAGCATATACATATAATTCAAACAATAAAATCAGGAACAATTCCTATACCGATTATCATTTTCGATGAGTTTATAGCGAATATGGAAGAGTTGACCAACGCGAATTTTTATTTTGTTAGCAGAACAATCTGCTGAAGGCACGTTGAGTACTTTAGTCTCATTCAAGTCAATGTGGTCCACCTCCTGAATGATACGATCCACGTATAAGTGATTTCGTTATCACACATTTCATCTTGAAATGGCAATCAAAGCAACTATTGGTTGAAATTATGAAAAAGAAAAGAGCACTGAAAAGATTGCAATATTCATAAGAAATGATAATTTTTTAATGGGAATGAATAAACCTGATCTGAAAGAGTGCTCTGCAACGTGGGACACCAATTCACCAATCGTTTTTTACGAAATATTAAGCCGTCTGAATGAAGCTGGCAGAACGCTCTTGTGACTGCTTGTGAAAAACGCTACAATTAAAGTAGGTGCATTTCACAGATGGTAATATAGATAGAAATAATGGGAACATCTTATTATGCAGTGCACACTAAATCGAATCAAATTTTCAATTGAGAAAACTCATACATGTATAAAAGTTCAGTATGCATTTTGGTTCAATAACTTACACAATCCATAGTATAGTAAGGGTTTGAAGACCAATCCAAAGTGGCACCTAATTTCTTTAGTTGTTCAGAAATTTCCTCAGCTCTTCTGAAATCACAACAACGCTGACACGAAACAAATCAACAAAAACAAATATTGCTCTTCTCAAGTAATTCAATTAACAGGTTTTGCGTATTTCATTAACCCTATTTTCAACAAATCATCACTTCATTAGTGCTGTTGGGAAATCATTTTGGAAGAACTGTTTTAATCATTTGAATGACCATTACTTTTCCTTCCACTCGTTACAAAGCTCAACAAATTCGCCTCGTGACAGTTCGTATCGTCGACACTTTCGCTTATCCCATAAATATTTCTCCACGATCGTTTGTGTGGCTATTCCGGCGTGATCAAAGCCGACGTGCCATCGCACCTTAGCAACGAAATTAACAATAAGGCTAATGAATGTGACAATAACATTAACATGGGATAGTTAAAAGGACAATAACGAGATATTATATACTACTTCAGGAGAGTTTCATGATGTACCTACAAGCTAAAACGTCACTTTTAGAAAACATATCTGTATTTGAAAGCTGAGCTGAAAGCATCGCCTCTCGAATATCACCCTAGCAAAAGTCCAACCCAAGCACATTTCAACTACGCATTTACTTACTGCAACATCAACGAACCAGAACATAAAACATCGAGAATATATAAAACTACTAGCGCATTATTGCTATATTTTAAGAATTAGCACCAAAACAATGACTACCTGATGACCGTAAGCACGTTTATACCGGCAAATGACGTCTTCGATCGTTACAGTTAGCGCATGACCCAAATGCAATTTGCCAGTGACATTTGGTGGTGGTAGCACGATACTGTAGAAATTTACAGTAATGAACCAAAAACTTTGAATAAATGGTAATGAAGAAATAAAATTACAATATTACTGCAGAAAATGAGTAAGGTCACTGAAACAAAATCTTTTGAAGGTTTTTCCGAGGTACGATCACGATACTTTCGATCTTTTGAAGAAAACTGAATCTTTTGCACCATCATTTAAACTTGGTGATCCAAAACTTGATTTTCTCATTATATCCGAAACATGATTTGTCACTGAATTCCATCGTGAATAACTGCAGAAGATTCAAACGTAGACGCTAAAAAATCACCTGAAATTGTCATCACTTTCACGATATGTTTTCCATCGATTAACAGCAGCCAACTTAGTCCTTTGCTCATAGTTTTCAATAACAGCCGGCAGATCGAACGTAGATTTCCTGTAAATAATCCTCGATCTAAACTTCGTCGTCTGTTGTGATGCATGAAAGGGCTATGACTGCCTTACTCCACCTGATCGTCGAGTTGTAAACCTCGTTTCCCAGCATCACCCGCTCGAAATACGTTCAGTACAGATTTTGACTTTTGCCCAGACTTACGAGAACCTAGCATATAATATACATGTTTGTACTGCTTTTAGAGGTTACTGCAAAACCAAGGTGAATGCATTCAGTTAGTAGTCCATCGTTCATTTATTTCAAAAGATTCATTTATTCAGCCGTAACAACCAGGCCAAATGTGTTCACTTTTGAGATAGTACTGGACTGAGTGGACATTTCAGCAAAGTCGGGTTCTAGAAACATTATATGTGATTCACTGAACAGAAGAAATTTATGAAACAAACCTTCTGGTTCTATAGTGGTTTACTGAACAAAACCATCTCTTTTGATATCGAATCACGCAACTCTGGATGCGGTAACCTTTTACCAAGTATACCTTTTGCATCATCTTTCCTCTCTTATTCAAATAATTAGGAAAGCAGATCCATGCTTTGCGATAAACCAATGCATAGTCAAAATTTATAAAGCTCGGTTCGCAATGTGAACCTCTTGAATTTTCTTTCGGCCCGGAAAAAGACGAGACTTTCATATTTTGTGAAATATTTCCATTTTCGAACAAAGAAGGTAAAAGCCGTTCGCTAGACGAGTCCCATCTCCGTTTCACGAAATAGCCGGCCTGGATAATACCTCTCAATCGGGTTCAGCTTGCAGCTGCAAACAATTGACACTGAAAAGTGCAGAAGAACCGTAGACCTTCAGCATAGACAACAGCACCTCACCAACTCTATCCTGATCGAATATATAACACGAAAGAGCTATAAGTTCAGCTCTTTCGTCAGAAATTAACGACAAGTTAATGCTTCATGCATTCCTCATTCCTCGCAAAGAGTATTGAGGTTTTAGGACAGTTATGCGCACTCGTACTGGTCTTTCTCCTTACTTTACTAACTGATATACAAACCCTCAACTCGAAACTCTTTTAGAAAATATACAGCATTGCTTAATGACGATCCCTTTTCTTCTTTCTAGCTCATTTTCACTGTCATGCTCGAGCAACATTTTAGGTGCTGCGTATGAGCAAATGAATCTTGATAATAAGTGAATCTTGATATATGCTCATGATGATTCTCTACGTCTCCGATCGTTTGGCGTTATGACCGATTGCCGTTTGGTGTGCCATCAGAACTGTTGGTTGTAGATTGCTACTCGCAATATGTATTTTTCTGTTGTCTTGGACATAGCTCGGGTTAACTATAGTAGCTACCAGGCAAATCCTTCTAAACTGATTACTTTAAGCAAGTAAATTTGACCGAGTTAGCTCATTTGGCTAGTTAGACTGTGTTAGATGACATTTCGTTATCGTTATACGGGGTTTCTTCAAGTATAGGTAATAGTATGGGTGATATCGTGAAGGGAAACCCAAGTTGTGCAGTACTTTGAATTGCACAACAATACAATTGTGAAATCTTTCTGGAAGGATTATTTCAAATGGTTATTTCTGAGAATATTCGTTCACTGAGGTTATAAGAGTTCGATGTGTGGAATTTGTTTGCTGTGCTGAGGGATATCTTAAAAGCCGGGAATATTGTGAGGAAATATGTGCGCATGAGGAAAGTATCTGATACAATTCAAATCTCGATCGGCAATGAGTGAATTTCATTTCTTCGTCTGTGTCTTGAGGAGGAACATGTGCTCGTTCCAGTAAACTGAATAACCTTAAAGGATCGCGCACAAATGCTGCAAGCAATTGATTGGATCACCATTGCTATTTTGATCGTGTTGTCATTTTCGGGTCTCTTCATTGTCGCATTGTTTATGTGAGTATTTTCATCATTTTTTTCTCATTCAATGTGCATAAACGTATTTTTTTCGCAAAAGCACCCTCATTAATTGCTCTGAGATGTCCATGATGAATTTTGAACATCTCAGGTTATCTTGGTTTACACCTTGGCCTCGACGACGTCGGCAAGATTTGCTGAAGAAAACTTTCGTTTACAATCCAAGCGGTGTATACCGTGAATCGTTCACGTGTCTTCTTGATGAATCTGATAAAATTCAACCGAATTATACTTCACCTACACGGAGTCTTTCCGTAGTTATTCCAGCCATGAATGAAAAGGTCTTTCAAATGATCACCACTCACTTTCTTTAACTCTTGATGATTGCTTTTAATTTGTCCGAAATGTTATGTTCCATCATTAGAAGGAGGTTTCATAAATATAACCAATGCAATGTAGTTGATAGAAATGATCTGTCTATCTTTCAAGGAACGTTTACCAGTAATGCTGAACGAATGTTTATCGTATTTGATGGAACGCTACGAGAAAGATTCTTCGTTCACTTTTGAGGTTCGTTCAGAGCGTTCTCAGCATCAGTTCTGGTGCTGACCATTCTTAAATCTGTTTGTGCTGTCAGAAGTGTTGATATATTTTGGCCATTGTGCTGATTAGAGACTGCACTGGGTACAGACTCGCTTCCAAAGTGATCGAATTAGAAGTCGCATCTTCATGGTTAGTCTCAGTCTTACCTGAGGTTCAGTGGTGGCCTGGATATTAGTGAATCCAGTTTAACCCTAAGCCTCAGCCTCATCGTTGCGTGTCTGCGCATGGTGTAGCCCCCAAACAGCAAAAATACACATACATTATCTAAACTGACATTTTTTAAGGTGATTGTTGTTGACGATGGAAGTAGCGATGGAACTTGTGATGTTGCTTTCGAATATTCGAAGAAGTATGGTGATGACGTTGTGAAAGTTTTGAAATTGGACAAGAACAGAGGCAAAGGTTAATCATTCTCAATAATTAATTTAATTCCAGTATCGTATTTTTGCACTCGTTTTCGAAACTTATCATTGTTACTGTGATTATTGTCATAGATGTTGTTAGTATCGAATGAGATGTTGGTGCCTAAGGTGGTGCCGTTCGATGTGGAGTGATGTGTAGTCGTGGTGCGATGATTCTCTTCGCTGACGCTGACGGAGCGACCAAATTTAGCGATTTTGAAAAGCTAGAAGAACAATTACTGCATATCTCATCAGCTGATGAATTGAAGAATGTGAACAGTTTTGATTGGACGCAACCAATTATCTCTGTAGGATCAAGGTGCTTCATCGAATTTTCATAACGTTTCTTTCGAGCTCGAAGATCGTTTGACTGTATAATTTTAGCTACAACACTGTGTTCTGAATAATGATGTTTATTGAATTGTGGTGTATTTTTGCCACTTTCGGGTGCGTTTCTCAAGATTTTCTTCGATTCGCTCTCTAGAAGCGTGCACTGAAAAACATATTGCAAAGAACTTGTGTGTTTTCGGACAATAATGGAGCAAAATGAAACTTTACAGAGCATATATGGAAGCGGAAAGTATAGCGACCAGGTCGATAGCGAGAACAATCCTTATGGTCGGCTTTCATTTGTTGGTGTATGTGTTCACGGTGAGAACGATTCATGATACTCAGTGCGGATTCAAGCTGTTCAGTCGAGCTGCAGCTGCGAAGGTATCACTTTTACTTGAAAATCATCGAGTTTTTTTGGATTGCGATGTTCGTCGAAGACATTTTTAAAACTATTGTAATGAGCATGAAGTTGAAGTTGCGTCAAAATAAACCAGCATGATAGCAAATGAATTGCCTCAAAGAAAAGTTTGAAATGGAAAAGGAAATGATAAATTGTAACGAATTTCAGTTTGGCACCCGTACTTTCAATCCTAACTGCAATTTTCACATTCATTATAATTTTTCATTGTCAATGTCGTCGTCATTATAATCATCAAAAAAATTTATCTAATTTTTTCCGTTTGGGTTCTGGAAGTGAAATTATTCAATACAGAAGAATTTGAATGTATTCGAATTTCAGTTATTCCCAGCGATACATATTGAACGATGGGCATTCGATGTGGAGTTGTTGTATTTGGCAGAACATTTTGGCTATCGAATCAGCGAGGTTGCAGTGAGATGGCACGAAGTGGATGGCTCGAAAATAGTGCCGATTTGGTCGTGGATACAAATGGGACGTGATCTTTTGCTTATTTGGTTTAGGTACACATTCCGAATTTGGACTATTGACAGCGGTCTCTAACAGTGAACAGTTCGTTGGATTTATTTGTTTGATAACGCACATTCCTCTTATTTTTGCTGTTACACATAATGATCTTTTTCGCAATTGGATGTTGTTGTTGTTATTATCGTATGTTATTCAGCTGTTTTTTTTTTCTATGATGAGTTGTATCATCATTCGATATGTGCCGATTGTATGAAAGAATTTCTAGTTGTATTGTTCACAGTTTTGGGTTAACTTTGGCTTCATTTTGATTTGTTTGGGACTTCTATTCATCTGTTACTGTAATAATTTGTTGAATAAACACAATCAATTTCACGAGTTTGAATTTGTTCATTTTCATACGATAATCGTTTGGTCGAAATTAGCGAGTTACTGAAACAGTATTTGCAGACTGTAATCGGTAACAGTTTGGTAGTTTTATGACGACAAAATAGTTTTGGCTGGTGGTGATGATAATTCAGCATTATCAAGTTATACGGCTATATTCAACCGGTTGTCAAATTGATCAAAGTCGAATATGATGATCTGTTTGAATCTGAATATGATTCTCAATTGAATGGGAAATTTGGAGCATGATAGATTATTGGGAACGTTGTCTCGTTCAGCAGTGGTCTATTGATAAATGTATGATAAAATTGTAGAAAGTGTTGAAGTGGTACAATTGGAATTGAATGTGCGTTGAAGTGTAAAGAGATGTCATCGAAGAAATCAACGAAAGCATCCAAACAAAGAACACAAAAACAATCGACAACACCGCAAGAAAATGATGCTGAGAATGTTCTTGTTATGCACACTGAACGAGTCCTAAATGTCAGTTGACTTGTCGATGAAATTAAATATCAGTTTATATAAACTGAGAGCGATAATGATTACAATGAGACTTGTAGTAATCATAATGAATACCTACAGTGTTGAGTGCGATTGTGATTGCAGTTAAGACAAGTAAGTCATTGTAGCTTTACAAGAACAGCGATAAGAATGAGGCTCATTTCAGGTGTACGATACGGATTCAGATTTCGCGTTGGGTCATGTGGAAGGATGGGATGTTGAGCGATACATTAGGCCGATAAAGATAGTGATTGTAAACGAGAGTGAGGATGGAATGACGCTCGAATTTGATTTGATTCATGTGGAAGCACCAATCGCGAATGCGATTCGTCGAGTGCTCATTGCTGAGGTTTACCCTCTTCTTTGATATCTGATGAAGATGTAGAATATTCAGAAGTTATATCGTATAATTTGTGACAGTTCGGCGATAACTCATAGAATGGAACGGTGTTTGATTTAGGTATGTAAAAGCAGATAAAATGAAATATGAAACTATTGTTCAGGTTCCAACAATGGCTTTCGAGAAGATTTACCTCTATCAGAATACGTCTGTTATACAAGTGAGTTGACAGTTTTGCATCATTTATGTTCATTGTTGTTGTTGTTGTTGTTTTGCCGTTATTGTTAATTTGATATTTGAGGACGAAGTGCTGTGTCATCGACTGGGTTTGTTACCGATTCGAGCTGATCCTCGTCTCTTCGAGATGCCTCTAACGAAAGTGATCGGTATCAACGAATCGGGAGTGGATTGCGATGAAGAGCCACCGGGTGATCCCACAAGGTTTCTTCTTGATTTCGACTCTTTTTTGAGTCGACTTCAACTTATCCAGAGGATTTTTTTGTAGTAGAATTTCTGTTTACTATTCAACTGTAAACAAGCAAATTGAAATTTTCTCTTCTCATCGTCAATTAGTTCCGATTCAATTGAGCAGTTGATAGCGTCGAGCAAAGAGGCAAATCGAAATAGCAATTTATTCGGTGATGTTTTTCGTTTATGAAGGAATCTGATCTTCGAGCTGAAAGTGTCGTGTCAGCGCAAGTCGAACGCCCCAAAAACGGCCACAGATCCGCGTGAAATCTTCGAGAATGCGTGTGTTTATTCGAATGCTTTCGAGTGGATTCCCATTGGAGATCAAGCGAAATCGTTACCGTATCATCCAGCAATGGTACACGATGATATTCTCATTGCAAAACTAAGACCACGACAAGAAATTGAAGCGAGGTGTTGACTCCATTGCTCATTTGTATTGTTGCACTGTTATATAATCACATTGTTCTCGGTCAATTTGGCTGAAGCGATCTGCAAATTTTTATTTGTTTGAGTTATTATCGGAGTTTTAAATCAGGTAGTGAAACGATTGAAAATGTTTGCATTTTGATACGAAAGGTGATATCGTATCGATGAGTTGAACACATCACCAGTCTCTTCAATTACAGATGTCACTGTGTGAAAGGTATCGGACGAGATCATGCCAAATTTTCACCGGTTGCAACAGCATCCTATCGCTTGTTACCAATTATAAAACTGAAGAAGAAATTCTCTGGTAACGAGGCAGAACTCATCAAAGCGTCATTCTCGGATGGCGTGATTGATATTGACTCAGGTATTGATATGCTGATTGACTGATGAATTGCTTGTTGGAGAAATCTCTTTAGAATGTGGCATGTGGATTTTATTCTCGTAAATTTATTGTTGGTCAAACTGAGAGCAGCAATAAAGGCGGTGAGTTTATGAGCGATTCGATCATGAGAATTTGGTCGGAGATTTTGTTGATTCAGAAATTGAATGAAAGAATTTTGAGATGGATGCGCTTATGTGAAGGATGCACGACGTGATACGTGCAGTCGAAATATCCAACGGCATGAAGAGTTGGCCGAACACATTGAACTTGCTCGACGAAAAGATCATTTCATTTGTGAGTGGTGCTGTCTCTCTTTGCTTTGTACTAGTCAATAGGGTTATGTTTGTGTTGAGTAATTAAGAGGAACAGCAATCTCAAGTGGAAATCAAATAAGTGTTTTTGATGGTAACGATGGTGTTGGTGAGTTTTTGATGATATAACGTTAAAATGAATGTGAAAATTGTAGTTATGATATTGGTACACCACTCAGTTACGAGCAAAACTTTCCTTCGCGAACGGGTAGCAAAATTTTGCTCAAAAGCGAATGATGTACCAATATGATTGACGTTATGAGCCTGAGGCAGGCTATGATTTGATAGGCTTGTATCTATTATGTGTTATCATTGGTTTATTGCAGTTATGGTTGAAAGTACGGGTGCGATGAAGAGCAGTGAATTGGTGATAGAAGCGTGTCGAGTAATGGAACAAAAATGTCGAAATTTAAAAACTCTATTCGAAGAGAAAATTCAGAAATTGTCCTTGTAAAGACCGTGAAATGTGACCGATATATTGTCAGTTTAGAAATAATTTTTCAAGTGCACGGCGATTTCATCGTTAATTGTCTCAAATATCGTTAAGCAGAAGAGGAATCGCGATAGTAATCGCGCATGGAATTATACTGTTTGAAGGTGCTTATGAACTAAAATAACCATTTCTCGTAGTGATTCATAGCCAAAATTATTCGAATGCCATATTGTTTTCGACTTGTTGGCTATTTGATGATGATCTTTAAATCGTTATTTGAAAGCTTTTGTGACATGATTGTTACGAATTATTAAGGTAATTGTGTTCATTTATTGTTTGTTGATGACTTAATCCATTTTTGTTAATTTGTTAATTCGTGATTTGTTATTGTTATTCGATATTGTTGATACTGTTGATTGAGCATAGTATACTTCATCACCTAAAGAATATTGTTATTTTGATCGATAAAACTCATTACATTTCATTTCTTTTGGAGAAATACTTCTCATTTGTGTTTCGTTCAAAGCAGTTGATTTACATGCTCTCAAGATTCGGACGTCATTTGGGAAATCTTTATTTTTTGTCTTTGAATCTGTGAATCGATGATGGATTGTGGGTTTCTGTTCGTTTGTCGGGTGAAATAAGGTCTTTCAAGTGGGAGGAAATAGACCTATCTCTGCGAAATGCCTCGTCTGCCCATGAGAATTGCACCATCTATAAGGATTTTAAAAGTTGTGCATTTTGGTGCAGTTGTATTCGATGAGTAGTGGAATTTAGTGCTCGTACAAAGAAGCGATTTGGATATGAACGAGCGGATTGATGTTCATTTTAAGAGAACAGCTGGCACTAGCAATGTTCGCCATGAGTTAAGCACTTTTCCGTTAAATGCACGCATCATTCTTAAGCTTATTAGAAGCTGATTTATTGACAGACGCTTATTGCAGTGGAGTGATTTGTAAATTTGTCTCGTTTCCGAGAGTTGAAGTAAAATATCATCTGAATACGATGATGATGGTCTGCGCTGAATAGTATAAATCAACGTGGAAGTTGGATTAGGTTCGCAGCAAAGCTGAGAGTTTATCATTTAAGATCGTTGTTGCTCTTATTGCTTGCTTTGAGTGAATCTGAAGACAGTTTCAGAGTGATTTATAAATTAGCGTTGAGGATTGATTGCGTTTTTCAATCGTATATTCACTCTTGCTACCTTGCTTGGACGATTTCACCTGAAAACGATTCTTAATTTGCTTAATTTTAAGCGGAATGTGATGCATATACGATGAAAAACCTCATTCTTAGTTTATCATGTATATGTTAATGTTGAAATGGAGTACGATTATATTTTGTATATATTTTGCTGCTAGAATAATTGTGCAAATTTCAGACGATTCACTGGAAATGGGATTGTGTAAATGTCCGAAGAAGAAAGTAACAAATTTGTTCTGCTTTGAACATCGAGTCAACGTTTGTGACTATTGTTTGGTTCATAGTCACCCGAAGGTTTGTACGCTCTCCTTTCGGTGTAGAATTATGTAGATAGCGTTGAGCTTAGTAAATGGCTTGAGAATTTGGATCTCGTAAACGGATCAGAAGAGCTGATCTTTTCATGGTGTTTTAAAGAGCTTGTAATGCCACGAGCCCAGTGTATTTTCGTTGTTAGATGGCTTAATTTTCCATAAAATAAAGTGGAGAATTCATATTTTGGCTGATTGTTTCATCACGATATACGTCGAATTTCTTGTAATTTATTGTGCATGTTTTTGCTTCTGGAAATGGAAATATTTTTGTACTGTTTTATTGTTTAGTGTGTCGTTCAAAGTTATCTCTCGTGGCTAGCAGATAGCGATTACGATACGAATTGTTCACTGTGTGCGACGCCGTTGGCTAATCACGAAACTATTCGATTACAGTGTCTTCGTAAGTTTAACTTTCAATTTTGCTCCTTTTTTTTACAAATCGTTGAGTTTCTGTTGATTTGGCATGTGAACAATTCGCGATGTGAAAATTTATTATGTTAATGGATCGTTGATTTTAAACATTTTGCAGATTTATTTCACTGGCAGTGCTTGGACGCATGGGCACGTCGTTTTCCGTCGAATACGGCTCCAGCTGGCTACAAATGTCACCTCTGTCAAGAGGCAATCTTCCCGGCAGCCAATCAAACATCACCGATTATCGAGGAGCTTCGAACGATCTTGCAACGATCCAACTGGGCTCGAACGGCTCTCGGACTTACTTTGGTCGGTTTATTGATAACATCGTCCATAGAAATACGAAATGAAAAGTTAGTGAGTGGAAATGATCGTACAAATAAACAGATTTTATGCAAAATAATCATAGTAATATTAGGCAGATAAACAGCATTCGTGATGGAAATTATCTCATTAGTATTTCTCGGGATAAGCATTTGATGGAAATTCATTAGTTTATGCACAATGTTTTGGAATTTTAGTTGGTCGAGAAGGATGGTCGTACATCAAATCAAGAATTTTTGACAGCGAATAATCCAAGTGCGAATCAGTCTCAACAGCAGAAACAGCATTACCAGCAGTCAGCTGTTTCGGCCAGTCAAAGGAACAATCCGCCGTCTCGAAGTGAAACACCGGATACTCATTTGAATGTGGAGGATGTGTATGAGGGACAGCAACATCATTACCGCGATGAACGACAGTCGCATTTCACTGGTCGATTAAATTGCTTTATTGTTGTTTAATTTAGCTGACGAACAGGCGAATTTCATTTAGCGAATCACTACGTTGTATCGCACAGGGAACATAGCATAGGATTTGATTTTTTTTAAATGTGTTTGTTTGTTGAGCAAACAACTAAGATGTAGAAGATAACGTATTGTTGATTTATGATGTTGTTTAGCAAGGAAGGTGATGGGACCGGGTGATGATAGCACGGATACAACACAGTTGCTGGCAACGAGTAGAGAACGAGGACGTGATGAGGATTTGGCCGAGAATAAATACAAAAGGAGATCGGCAACTGAATGGCTGTCGAGATGGTTGAGGTGCAAATATTTTTGATTTATGACATACGGCGTTGTGACATTCTTTTGATACAGAGTGTATTGGAATATTCGAATAAACGGAAAGTGAAACTGTGAGCAGTGTTTGCAGATCGCGATATAGTCATGGCAGCGGTTATCAGCCAGAAACGGGTCGATTCAGACGGAAACGTTTGTGTTTCATTCTGTTCATCGTGTTGGTGGCGCTTCTGACCGCGTTCACACTGCTCACCCGACTGGTCGGTGGCCCTGCTGATGACGACCCGGCATTCGACCCACTCGCTAATCCTAACATTAGGGTGGCTGCTGTCCAGGAATCGAATCTCAACTAACACTTTGGTAGGGAATGCGACAGTCCGTTCGTTACGTTACTCATCGCTCCCTCTGGTTTATTTTTTTATTTCATTCGTTATTATTTAATTATTATTATTGTTATTACTATTAATGTAGTATCATTATTATAATTATATAATCTGATTGAAACTGATGTTATTCTAATCATTGTTTTATCTATGTGCATCTGATTGTTGCTGGTGTTGTTGTCATGTGTGCTATGGATGCAATGTGATATTTTACTGCACATAGCCAATATTCAAAACGAGTTTAGAATTGCAGTTTTATTTTTTGAGATCATTTGATAGACAACAACATTTGGAGATATTATCAGTATATATTGATAAGTGATTAGAGCAGCGATGTGGAGTTGAATTTGCTTATTTGTATTATTTTTTGATGATGGTTTGTGAGGGATCTTTGTGATCATTAGCGCAATGATGGAAGCATTAATGTGATGAATTCCGTTACTCGTTTATTACTTATTCATTTTGTGGGATGAAATTTCTTCCCGTCAAAGTTAAATTGTTTTTATTAAGACTTTTGATTATTTTCCGTAGATTTCTCAGTTCATCTTAAAATATTTTTGTTTACCGCTTTGGATGGTTGTGATCGCTTTTTCACTCGTCTTATTCCTATTTTTTATATTCTTGAAATGCGTTTCTGCATTCCACACACACGACGTACTGTTTGTTGTGCATTTTATTATCTGTTCAACGTGTCTGTCGATTTACGAATGTCAAGTTTTGTTTGCTTTTGCAACAAACGAAGGAATTTGCGCGAAGTGATTCATAATTCAAATCATAATTTATTCATCATAATTCGAAAGTTTTGATTCTTTACTATGTATTCTTTTATTTTATATCTGTTTTTGTTATGTATCCATTAACAATTTATTTGAGAAACTGTCTGTTCATTCATGTGATATTTCATAAGCGTAAAACAACATTTCGTTTTGAGGTGATTGTTTAGTTGCCTTATCGAAAAGCATCGAAGTGAATAAAGTTTTCGTTTTTTGAATCGAGGTAATCACCTGAGAGATGAATCGTTTTATCGAGTATGCAACTGTAACGCTGTTGCTATTATATCGCTCAGTTTGAGATGAATATTTTTATTGTTTTTTGTTAATTGATGTGGTTGTGTATTCCTCTTCTTAAGTGTTCACTTGTGTCAACTGAAACAAATAATTTCGGTGAGATATGAGCGATGAACTAGATGTTAGGTGCATTCGAGTGCATAGTTTTTGATTATCCACTGATGTTGATGTTGAGCTTGTAGCGTTTGTATAGGATGATATCGGGAAGTAATCGATTGATCATTTCTGACAGATTTTGATTGATTGATCGATTGATCAATTGATTGCTTCATTTATTGATCGATTGGGAGAGTATGTTCATGGATGTGATCAGTGCGGATAGTGTCTTAGAATTGGTTCGTTGAAAGTATTAGTTCGTAGCCAAGTCGCACTTGTAGTAAGCTCATGTTCAGTTTTCATTCCCTTTGATTGTAATCGTTCACCAGATCGGTGATAACGATATCAATGCTTGAATTTTGATTGTGTCGATTCGGCAACACTGAAAAAATTTATTTTGCAGTAAACGTATGCAGCGAGTATCAACGCAGTTGGTGCAACGTCTTGCGGCGGCACGGTGTTCGACTCGATCCGTACTGCAGACGGTACCGTGCCGTGCACAACAGACAGCTGCCGCGGCACTCGAAAAAATTGAGGTGTTCATCGACGGGAGAAAAATTTTGGTGGAGCCTGGAATGACGATACTTCAAGTGGGATTTGTCTTGTCCGATTGCATTGTTTTGTTTTGTTTGCGTTTGCTTTCTGCAGTCGGGTGGGGTGGTTTTTGCTTATTTGGCATTGCATTTACGTTTTGAGTTTGTTGCATATGAATGGTTATCAATTTAGGCATTTTTGTGAATGTTAGCGATTTGTGATTTTGAATTAGGAATAATCTCTGTGCATAGCTGAAGGATTTCGTTGAGTGATTTTATAAGGAATTAGTAGTGTGGAGCGATTTGATAGAGATGATTTGTTGATTTCGCACGTAATTGATAGGGAAATGTCGTATTCGAATTTACCGCTGACAATTTTAAACATAACTGATTAGTATGAGTTATTAAATACATATATCGCAAGTGGTACTCATATGTGAAAAGTTTTGAGATTCATTGAGAGTTGAACTCGAGGAAATTTAAGGCATGTGCTCTGTTGGGTATCGATATACCGCGTTTCTGCTATCATGATCGGTTGTCGATTGCTGGCAACTGTAGAATGTGTTTGGTTGAGGTGGAGAAATCAATGAAGGTTCGTGTCGCTATATTTTGTTTTTGAATTTTAAAATATGCCTGTTTCTTTCGTTTGGTATTGATCGATTGGATCAATATTACTACGTGACTGTTTCACCGATTGATCTAAAGATTAAATGATTTATTGATTTGATCGATTGAATTGATCGGTTTTGTTTGGTTCATTCAGCCGGTAGCTTCGTGTGCAATGCCGGTAACGAAAGGAATGAAAATCAAGACGAATTCTGAGTTCACGAAACGATCGCGCGAAAGTGTTATGGAATTTTTGTTGGTTAATCATCCGCTGGATTGTCCGATTTGTGATCAGGGTGGTGAGTGTGATCTGCAAGATCAATCGATGGCGTTCGGTTCGGATCGTAGTCGACTTCAAGTGGAGGAAGACGGAAAACGGTCATTTCATTTATGATTCTTTCAATATTTACGTGATTCGATCTCATCAACATTGGGCGTGTTTATAGGTTTGAGTAACTAATCGCGTGAATTTTCAGTGCTGTTGAAGACAAAAATATTGGACCGTTGGTGAAGACGATAATGACACGTTGCATTCAATGCACACGTTGCGTACGATTTGCAAACGAAATCGCTGGAGTACCCGATCTTGGTACGACGGGTCGGGGTAACGATCTGCAGGTGGGTTCAGTGTTTCAGTGATCCTTAGCCGTTGTCATATGCGTATTGAATTGGGATTTTCAGAATTGTCGATGTTATATCCTTATGTTGTTATATCTAACTTTTTGATAGGTGGATGTTTTGATAGATGATTTTCGATATCTTTTATAGATTAGATGCTGCATTCAGAGTTTTGATAGTTTCGTAGATGATTTGTGGTTTGTTGAGGGGTGCTTCAAAGATGGCATTGCATTTTGCAGATAGGGACATATGTGGAGAAATTGTTCGCTTCTGAGTTATCTGGTAATGTGATCGACATCTGTCCGGTGGGTGCGCTGACGAATAAACCTTACAGGTTTTGATTTGGACATGTTTTTGCCTTTCTTGAATTATTGTGATTACTCGCTATTTCTATGGAAAGTATTTTGTATGATTTTTAAAGGTAAAGAATTGTCATTTGCAGTTTCATGGCAAGACCATGGGAGACGCGTAAGACGGAAAGTGTTGACGTGATGGACGCACTCGGATCGAATATAGTCGTATCGCATCGAAGTGGTGAGGTGCTTCGTGTGATTCCACGTCTTAATGAGGTAAGTGAGCAGTTGATTTAAGATGATGTCCCTATTGAGAAATTAGCAGATCGAATTTATTTTTCAATGTTAATTATGATTGTATGGCAGAAACTGAGAGTTCTTTGTAAATTTCAAAATTTCAGACGTATAGTTAGAAAGTTTTTTGTTTATTTGTTTGCTTGTGATGATTGATCAAAATTGGGTAATTTGTTTGTTCGATTAGTATTCACCAAAGAAAAAAGTTGTGGATTGAGTGAAGTTTAGCTAGCAAAAAGTGATGCATTTGAGGATATCAACGAGGAATGGATCAGTGACAAGACTCGTTTTGCTATCGATGGTCTGAAACGCCAACGTTTACTGACACCAATGATCAAAGACGCAACGGATTTATTGTTGAGGTTGTATCGTTTGTGATATTAGAAGGGTTTATTGCCGAGTAAAAAATATGTACAATAATAGAAAATGAAAGGCAGAATTGCGATTATTATTGGCTGATTCAGACCATGTTCTTGGGAAGAGGCACTTTTCGCAGTGGCATCGAAAATTCGTCAGACACCCGCGACGCAAATTGCTGCCGTTGCTGGACCATTGAATGACACAGGTGATTGATTGTTAATTGTTTTATAGTTTGGTGAAGATTAGTGAAGAGTTTATGGATATCTTAAAAATATGTGATGGTTTTGGGTAGTGAGTGCTTATTTGAATGTTTTGAGAGATTTGATGTGGTGATGGGTTGTGATTGATTGTAGTGAGCGATCAGTTGGTATTGTTTTTTAGAGTCGTTAATGGCGTTGAAGGATCTGATGAATCGTTTCAATTCGGAACTTGTTTGCACCGAGGAATCATTCCCAGCGGTAAACGGTGGATCGGATTTGAGGTATACTTCTGTTGTTTGGTGTTTTTTCACTTGAACAAAGTAGTTATGCGTTAGTTTTAGTGGTAAATAGCTCTTTGTATTCAGAAATTGAGACTATGGAAATTGTTTGTGGTAGCGTGATTATGTCATTTGTTTGAGATGGAGTAAGTTTTCGGCTTATAGAATAGATTAGTTTGTTGTATGCGAGTGAAATAGATGAATAGGCGAGCGAGCGTTGAATTGTTGATTGAACTTCAGATGTAATTACATAATGAACGATGGCATTGTTGGCGTTGAAGAAGCGGACAGTTTGTTGTTGATCGGCACGAATCCACGCTATGAAGCGCCCGTGTTCAATGCGAGAATCCGTAAATCGTATATCCATAACGAATTGGACGTGGCTGTGATCGGCGCGGAGATGGATCTGACCTACGACTACGCGTATTTGGGTGAAACTGGAAAAGCTATCGACGACTTGATCGCTGGAAAAGGGCCATTCGCGAAGGTTTGTTGCTTTTTTTCAATTTAGTAATTCAGGTGGAATTTTGACCTAGGAATGGAAATGCAGTTGTTATGTGGAAGATTCAATTTGATTTTCGTTGTAAGCTCATTCTTTGTAGAGTAATGTTGGTGTTACGGTTGTAAATTATGACTGTTAATGAAGGATGTTGTTTTGAAGCGTTTGCATTCATCGAAGCAACCGATGATCGTGGTCGGTAGTGCGATGTTGAAGGGTAAAGACGGTGCAGCACTTCTTTCAAAAATTCGACAGCTCGTCGATAAATTGCACGCGGGATCTGCAGATAGTAAGTTGTTATTGTTGGTTGATACACTGCATGGCCGTAATCGTGCTTATAACAATGATAGCTTTTGCATGAACACTTCTGTATCTGTGTTTTAAACGTACAAACACTAACTACAAGGCAGATACAGTTTGCGTAAAGAGGCGAATTTCAGAGTCAAAGAAGATCTTGAACGTCTTACATCATAACGCTTCTCAAGTAGCTGCTTTGGATATTGGCTATAAGGTTGGTTAGAAATCTGGCAATTTTATGCCATCTGTGTGTATCTGTGCTATATGCTATAGGCGATACTTGCGAATATTTGGAATGTGTTTTGAGTGAGTGGAGAGATTTTGTAATGAAGCAGTGATAGAAGGGATTTTAAATCAATGTTGAAAGTAATTAAAATGGTGTTTTTTGAAGGGTGGAGTGGACTTGATCAAGGGAGCATCGAAACCGATGAAGTTGTTGTATTTGTTGGGTGCGGATGAAGGGCTGGTGAAGAGAGAGGATATGGACAAGAATTGTTTCATTGTCTATCAAGGTGAGTTTATAGATGGTTGTTTGTTAGGGTTGTTGTTGTGATATGAGGAGGGATTGATGGATGCGAATGATTGAAGGACATCACGGTGACTTGGGTGCTGAGATGGCCGATGTTGTGTTACCAGGCGCTGCGTATACCGAGAAAGAGGGTATTTATGTGAATACTGAAGGAAGACCTCAAAAGGTTAGGGATGCCAGTATCATATTCGGATGGAATCTTTTTGTAGATTCAGATGAAATACTTTTGCATTAATTCGACTGAAAATTGAAATGGTTCTATAGAAATTGAGGAATGATTATGAAAATGGAACTGAATTTTAGGGATATCCAGCCGTGGCACCTCCAGGTGATGCGCGACATGACTGGAAGATAATACGAGCGATTAGCGAGATCGCCGGCAAGAAGCTGCACTATGACGATATCCAACAGCTGCGTGCACGTATTTCAGAGGTGCGTTGTTTTTTGTTGATAATTGTTCGTGAGGTGTTTTTTTAATGCTGATGATTCATTAGATATTAGAAAGTATTCAGGGAATGCAGTGAAAACACATGAATTTCACAAAGGTGGTTAGGGGAACGAGGGGTGATTTGTTATGATGGTATAAACCAGTTTCATTAAATCTTTCGCTGAATAAATGCAATTTTAAGGTGGCTCCACATTTGATTCGTTACGGTGATGTTGAAGAAGCATCGTTCTCGAAGCAAGCATCGCAACTTTCTGAGGTGGTGATTAGATGATGTTCACTCGTTTATTTCGTTTGGTGTTAATTCTTTGGTTTTGAGCGAAGAAATTGAGATGAGAAATTAGTGAACTTTCATATTCAAGAAATTTATTCGTGTATTTGGATTGTGTATTTTTTTTNTTTTTTTTGATGATATATCCTTTGATATAGCGGAAATATTTTGTTTAGACTGGTCAACTGAACGCCGCATCGCTACGTCCACAGCAATTGGAACTGGCCGATTTTTGGATGACAAATGTGGTGACGAGAGCCTCACCGACGATGGCTGAATGCGTGCGTGCAGCACGTGAGAATGAAATGAATCCTTACCTAGATGAATTACCCCATAAACATACTGCGTCGGCGAGCTAAAGGCTCAGCGGGACGGGAGCATTTTGCTTCTGACCGTTGAGAATTGTTTATAATTTTATTGTAGGGTTATATTTCGTTTTGGAAGAACCTAGTTAATGTAAATGAAACGTATTTTAATGCTGTATTGATTCATTGTCAGTGTTCGTATTATCGGTGTTTATTGATTGAAGTGTTCAAATATGATTGAAATGAAGAACGGTGCTTTTGGTTGTTATTTAGCTGGGGTAAAGCTGATTTAATGGTCTAGTGCCGAAATTTGCTCTTCGATTCATTATTGATGTTGTTCGTGTGTGCAATTGTATGTTCGAGAAATAAATTTAATAAGATTGAGCTTTGTGGTAATTTTGGTTGATGCAGATGTAGTTTGTATATAGTTCTTTAACTGATTGTTCCACATTATTAATTGTTTCTCCGAATTATTCGATGGAAAAAGGTGAATAAGTGTTATGGATTGTGGACACGATCTGATAGATCGAAATGATATTGGCTAATATTCGTTAGGATTTGTTTGAAAGATGTCAACGGATGAAAGGAGTTTCGTTGTTGTTGTGAAACGCTGATATATGATAATTGCAATTCTCTTCAACAAATAAATTTATCGTTATTTTACAATCGCATTATATCCTCACTACTGCTCAAATTCCCTGTTTGACATTGCTCTCAATCAAAGTAGCTTTTTTATCTTTTGCTCACCAGTATTGTTAAGGAAATGCCGTTGAACATTTAAAAAGTCTTATCGCAAATTAATTTGACTGGAAAAAATCGTTTGCAGTCGAATTTTAAGAGTTATCTATTCCAGTGATATTTTGAATGGTACATGTTATTAACCTATTGGAGTGAATAGTAGTTTACATCCTAAAACATTTATCAAAGATTTTTGTAAAGTTTTCATCAATTTGATGTTTTCCAGTTGATTCTCTTTGCAAGAAATTACGTACTCAGTTATCAAGATAGCACCTGATTGTGAGAGGTTAAAATAAAGTCGTGAGATTATGCATTGATGAAGTGGCGATATTATCAATCAGTGCAAGGCTATTTGAGTTCATGTTAAATATCGCAAGTGATTTTTTGAATATTGTAAACGATAGAAGTGGAAACTCTATTATAAGATGCTTTGAGACGATCACTTTGGAGAGTTCTAGCCTCCCGAATCTAGAGACAGTAGTGTTGCTAGCCGAATTGTATCCATAGTGATAGTTTCCTAGTGCAGTATATGAATGGTCGAATGCTTGGATGGATGATTGAGTACTTTAAGATAAGGATATTGTAACATCACTCAGATAGCAATCGTTGAAGGCAAATAAGCCATTTGTAGTTGAGTTGCGATTCATTTGTTCAGCAGAATTTGATTTGATTCATTTCGTTCGAGTTTTAAGGGAATCGTATTCGTTGACCATCGGATATGGTAAGCTTATTGTCCAGACGAATTCCTCATTTGTAGATCTATTCAATAATGACAGTGACGATTAGGTGAGACGTTGAGGAGGGTAAAATCGTTTATCGAATCGGCTTCAGCAAGCTGATCCAATGAAAGAATCTATTCCCAAAGAGTTGAGAGCATTGTTTACAAAGCGAAATCTTTCGATGCTACACAAGGATCGCTTGTGATATTGGCTATCTTCTGATTTCATAGTGGTTGTTTGGACTAGCTGCCAGCTGCTCAATGCACTCGCTCATGCTCTAAGTCCCATATCTGTTTTCGAAACACTGATAAATTGTGTAATTTTTTCTTGAATGATGATAATTTGTGGAATTAAAACAATCGGATGAGAAGTTAGTTTGCAAGATGTTTAGTTGGCACTGTGGAGTGCGTTATTGGCTGATAAGACACGTTTGATTTTTGCTGAACCACCATTACTTGGAATCATAAGTGTTCTGGCCGTGCACATACTACTGATCTATCAGATAATCGTTATCGCCAGACCAGATGCGAGTAATTTCATCCCGTTTTGGAGTATATATGTTCAACAAGTTCTCAAGTATGTCGAATCTATTAACATTTATTATTGTGAACGACTTTCAGCCATCTTTAGGATTCAAATATGAACGATTTGAATATGGTTCATTTCAGTGCAAGTCAAATAATTGAAGGAACTTCAACAACTCCGCAAGGAACAGACATGCTATCACCAGCAGTATCGGCGTATTAATCGATGATCGACTGCATCAAAACACTTTGATGAAGATGACTGAAGATAATCGTAATTGTCGCAATTGAAAGCAGCTTCAACACAGAAATAATCTTACGGAAAATAATCTCAAAGATGGTGGCGTTAGACTTTCGGCGAGAGGATTGTCTATTGATTCAGGCGATGTGATAAAAACAAAATTAGATTTGAAAGCTTCAATGAAAATTTTTGACAATTCTTTACTATAACGTACAGAATTTCAATTGGTGCGAACGAGTGTTACGTATCCTTCAGATCTCGTTCCCCTCGTGTACTAAAGTAACTGAACTGAAGTCTTGTTCCGCATTCCCAGAATAACCAAATATTGCGGTCGAGTGATTCTTTCTTGCGTTGAACATTGAAGAACATAACCCAGAGGTTTTTCATGTTTTAGCTTTGAGCTCGCTCTGCCATTTGCTCTGTCTTTTTACCCTGAGATTGGGCTTAGACCCGCAATCATTTTAGGACGTTCCCTTCCTGACCCTTGAGTGCATCATCTTACAAGATCCTGTCAAGAATAAGTAGAGAGAATCAGCTGATTGGTATTGAAATAAGAGTAAATGTGGGTAGTTTGTTTGTTTGCGAACTGAACGCGAATAACTCAATGACAATAGCTGTGCAGTAATTCTTTTGATAAATATAAATTGAGTGAATTTATAAATGTTGTTTTGAATGGCTATTGATAAACTACTGATAGTGATTAATCTCTCATGATTATAACTGCTGAACAATTTTTAAAGACGTTCATTCGCTGCATTCATTTGTTATTGATATGCAGCATCTGATTGTAGTTATCATTTTCTGCTTACGATTATTGCTTGATATCGATTACTTTTTGAAGCTTTGCGTTAACTTTGCAAATTGAATAAAACTGACGCAGTACACGAGTGGTCGTTTCTGTCCATTCTATTCTGTATTCTCAGAAATGCATTTATTGTTTCGGATGTATATCTCTTAATTTAACAACGCAATTTTCATGCAAATGAAACAACTGATGTTTTAGTTTTTCATTCATTACAGAAATAGTCCAAATAAATTTTCGGCTAAACATGAGCATAAGCATTCTGTAGTATAGCATGACAAATGAACAGACCATATTCTGTGATCACGTTTACTGTCGCCTAACAATTTAGTAGTTTCTTGCACAAATTTGAGCATGTTGAGATTTTTAGAATCGAAGCGTTCAAAGAGATAAGCTGAAATGAGTGGTCAAGAAAGCCGAAAACGTGCATCACACCAATGGCGTCGGATCAAGCAAAAATCAATCGAGCCGGGTGTATCTGGACTATTCTTCACGTGTTCAGCCAATGAAAAACAAGCGCTTCGTGAAGCGTACAATCTTTTGAATTGTTTAATTGAAAAGCAACAAGAAACCTCATCTGAAGTTGTTTGCAAAACCTCGGATGAATGTCAACAAACAAATGGTAGGGATTCACAAAAAATGTCTGACGAAAAAAACGATGCAGATGCTGAAAGTGCTAGTGATAACTCACCATCAGATGCGGAGGATGTCGCCGATACAATCAAACGATTCTGCTCAAACGGTTAACGCATCTCTAAAGATCGACATTGTTATCATTAAAGTTTTCGTACAATTTCATCATCCATCTTTCATCACATTCTATATTCCATTTCAATGATCTTCTGTCACATTGTATTCAATTTGCTGACGATTGCTCTTGCGCATTTGAAAATCACTACAACAGTAACAATGATTCCCTTATAGTTGCACTGGAACATGTTGAATGTTTTTGTTCAGTCATATAGCAATCGAATTTTATGGACATTTGCATAAATTTTGTGTAATATCTAAAAGAATCTAAAAGCAATGGCTTCACTGTTCATCGCTCAATTCTTTTTGTAATAGTTTAACGTGAAATTCTTTTGATTTTCAGCTCGACAATCAAACTCAGTGCCATTCTATAAGAATCGTTTGAAACAACGTCCAACCGGTGTCAAGAACTGTTTATTTGTGGCAGTGGATGGCGATCTGAGTAAACAAGTGTACGATCTGGCTGACCAGCTCGTAGCCAGGGCAGCTGAGCAGTCGTGTTGTCGACTTCTTCAACGAGTTATTCCCATTGAAATCACTTGTCGGATCGATATGCCTACCATCGAACGTGTACGTTCCTACAAAACACTCTTTTGAGAATGCAATTTTGCCTCTGTTCATATTTATGACGTTACACAAATGATGGTCATGTCATCACTGAACTAGGAATCATTCCCGTTTTGAACCTGAACAGGTACAGATAGATTACGCACGTATTCATTTAATCAGCAAATCCAACTCATTATGAGTCAATGTCTCTCTGTTATCACCAATATCACATAACGATCGTTCAGAGTGGGTCTTTGGAGCAACCAATAGTAGTAAATTAGCAATCTTTCGGTATCAGTAATAAACAATTAGTGTAACCGAGTAGATCCACAGCAATTGGCGTATCAGACAGTCCGCAACCAAGCCATAACGAATGCTCGTTGCCATAAATAATTTGCATAATTAAATACAGCTGAATACCAACCCATTGAACAGTCGTAGCAATGAGGAACATTTTGCCGATCGCATAGAGCGATCGGCAAACCAACCGCTCAGTGTGCAAACAACAATCCAAATCCCTACACGAGCACGGTCGACTGAATTATTTCAGGCTGTCAGTAAGTTGGTTTCGAAACATTTCACTGTGAACGAAGAGGATGGCAAATGGCCGACCTATTCAGTGGAATTCAAAGCCAGGAATAATTCAGGTGTGAAACGTAATATTATGCTGGAAATGGTTTGTGGTGTAGTGAAGCAGATGGCACCGATGAGTCGTATTTGTCTGGATGCACCCGATATAGCACTGCTTTTCCAAGTGCTACACAATACGGCGCTTCTGTCATGCGTTCGCAACTTTCATCAACGTCGAAAAATGAGTCTTCATGTGGAACGAAATCCGAGCAATGAACCCATAAAAACAATTTCTAATCTAGCCGATGAATCCCACAAAGTCAGCAATGCTCATGATGCTGCACCGAAAGTTACTGTATCGAATGATGAAGAAACTGCTAATAGCGTTGAAGGTAGTAGAATTGATTGTGGAACTCCTGAAGAAAAACATTGTGATACTGTAGATGTCCAGTGATTAATTGATGCCCAGTCAAATGATTCATTTGTGGTATGTTTGAGAAGAGAGAAATCTTGAGGAGAATAAATTTTAGTGAAATTTTGCGAATTGAAAGTAATTAGCCGCCAGAAAGTTGCATCTATGTGAAAGTCAAACATGCAAAAGGAGTGTTGAGAAAATGGCCATGAGAAATGTTTTGTCCATTTTCCCTTAATCACAGTTTGACTGAAGGAAGATTCTATACAACGTAACGGTCAATCGGCTGGGATGAATTTGTTGTCAAATGCGAATGTAATATTTCATGAGTATCTGTCATGTACCCATAAACTGATAAAAGATTACTACCTCGAATCGCTCGCACCATTGAATTTGTTTCGATCGAAATGTTTCTATCATCGCCATTCAATATCTACGTTTATCCTTGCTCTATAGAATGCGTATAAAATTGCATATAAATTTTCAAGTGCATATAATATTTCTACAAACTGTATTTAGGATTGCTCGGTTATGCGCACTCCAAATAGTATATATCACGGTATTGAATTACGCAGTACAAACTGCTTTTTATTACGCTAATTAAGAGTAATCAGACTGACGCCTGATAAGTTTTGAGATGGATTGAATAAATTCTTCACTTTGGCAGCAGCATCACACTTTGAACGTTTTCACTGATCTTCGCATGTTTTGACTGATCGTTTAGTCAGTCGTTTGAACATGTGAAAAGTAAGAATAGAAATCTCATTCAAAGAATATAATGCAAAATCGAAACGTCGCAGCATATGAATGCCGAAATGTCAAGGTTATCAGTGTGAACTTGACTTCAAAATATGCACCATGTCAAATTAATAACTTGTTTAAATGCTATGTCATTCTATCGAATGTGCATCGAATATGATTCAAAAACGTTTTCGCTTATACCACCAATGTCATACAACGAATACAATAACACTCATAAAAATAATAATTCATCGATCAAACAAGTGCATCTGTTAACCGACTCACATTTCAAGTATCCATTAACCGGTTTGTGGCATTTGTCATTGCTGATCTCACGATCAGTGCACAGTGACATTTGTTGCTAACACAAAGCACCTCTGACTGTTGCATGCAATCCGCTATCGTCACAAAGCAGCCGTCAAGCTGTGAACATGGTTTTATGATCGATCACAGTCACACCCTGTTGTCATCGTTGTTGTCACCTGCCTCTATTGTTTTCGTTTTCGTCTCATTGTTGTGTGATCGATAGAGTCCTTTGCTCATTATCTTAGCTCGTCATTTGGTTATTCTTTTGAATGAATGACACAACTGTAAAACAAGTTACGCATTTGACGCGATTTAGTGGTTTTGGATTGTGCATTGTTGTTATTTATGTGTTATATTCCATGCATTGTCTTCTTCAACGTCGAATCGTATTATCAATATGTTTGTTTCTTATTGATTTCCTTAAATCATTTCTTAAATTATTTCTCGATTTATTCTCTTGATTCTCAGTCGTCTGCTGCGGGATATCAGCATTTTTTCAACTTATTTTGACATTTCATAATTTCAACTTTCTCATTCGAATCTACAAACAACAATCAACCTCCCTCATAAAAATCAACTCAATTCTATTATCACGAAACCTTTGAAATAATTTTAATCTTAAACACTATCTTAATAATCACAGAACATTCGTTAATATTGATGAGAACTTCCGTATTATTGTCATATCCTACAAGTGTACATGAATCAGCTTAGCTCGCATGTGAATGAATATCTCATTGATTGAAACATTCACGAAGGCAATGAAAGCTAAACGATAAGTGCGTGAATTTGATTGATGAAATAAATCGCCGTGTGATCATAATTAAAAGCAATCGCTCGTCATCATTCTGCCGATTATCCTCGTGTTCGTTTCATCCGCTCATCGTTCCAAATGCATTTCCCATCCAACCGTTTGAATGAAAGGATTTTGATGAACCAAAAAAAGAAATACTCACGCGTATTCTAGCTGCGTCAATCGAATCTTGACTGTGAATGGGAATTGAATATGGATATACCTCATCTCAGCTGCACTTTCGAATGAATAATCAATGATTACGAGAATAACGAAACATGAATTCATATGCACAAGCACATTTATTCACCTACATGAATTTACCATTTCTCATTTGACATTTTCATATTGATTCAAGAGGAGGGACTAATGAGAAGCCTGATTTGTCACTCGCGCAAATAAATGCATGCGACATGCGAGATTGCATTAAAAAATATTATAATTGTCATCATTGGGGAGAGAGTTTTAAGAATTGCATTTGAACGATAGAATCACCTATTGGATATTTGATGTAATATTGCATTGGCAATGAAACGATAGCATAACAGGACAACAACATCCTAATAATGTTGATTTCGAGGTATATCGAATGAATGAATGGATGTGTGAGACGAGACGACTATTGATGATACGTTTGAAGAATAAAATTTGTTGCCGTCGTATCTAAAGGTGGCGTGAGAGGTACGAGAAAGTCACTGAAGATGGACGATTCCATGAATTTTGTACCATCCGGATCAGGTGCGTGCTCTGTGTTCTGGTATTTCTGTTATTGTTTATTCGGTTTTAGCTTATTTTTGTTGGCGATTTTATTATGAATTGTATTGTTGCTCACAATTAGTATGATGGAGTTGTATCGAGTATTTTGTGTTTTATTGTTTGACTTGAGATATATTACATGTCAGTTGTTTCGTTATTTATTGTCATCAGTTTGATTATTTATTGTGGTTATGTTTTGCATTCTCTACTGTTTAATGTCATTGTTGTTGTGCATTTTCTCATCAGTTGTTCTCAAATTGCTTTTTAGTTAGTCAGTTATTTGCTTTGCACAATTCAATCATTTTCAAGTAATACTATCCAGTTATAATTCATCTAGGTTAGTTAAAGGGAGTCGCGTGTGATCTTTAATTTGTTATTTTGCTACTTGGAAAGGAACAATTTTAGTGCGGGTAAAGCCCTTCTTAAAAGTATTTCTATCTATGCATTCCTCCATCTATCGAGGAGAACAGAAAGGGGGAAAAACAATCTCGGAGACGATGAAGTATCCGCCATTCTGGATTAGTCGTAATCCTGAAATATCGATGACTAGTATTAGCGAAAGAGCGATGCGGTTGACGTCCATCGAAAAAGCCTTTTTCATTTGTTACTCAGTCCGGTTTGCGGTTTTTATGTCTTGTAACTTGCAGTCGACTCTGTCAGAAGTTATTATAAGTTGAAAGCTTTTTCCACTTGAGGAGTGAAGATCTGGCGTTTTGATTGGATGTCTTTAATTGGATTTTCATTGATGTTGGCAAACTTGTGTTATTTCGTAGAAATGTGCGATATTCACTTTCCAGACTACTCCAATAAAAGAACTTATTGATTCTGAACTAATAGTTTGCTGACGCTTTCAAAGTTGGTCAATTGAAATCACAAAACGAAGTGGATTACACTTGAGAGGATTATTAAACATGAACGGTCTTTAAATGTTATTGGGCAATAAGAGAGTGAGCTTTCAGGAACTTTGCATACGAGTAATAGCAGTAGATCACTGCCGTCTGCGATCGCTTCTGCATCTGCAGTCTCAGCGACATTAGCAACAGCTGCAGCAACCGTAACTCCGACACCCCAGCTCTCATCCCTATCACAGTCCTCATCAGCCATTGATTTACGACTGAAGTTGAGCGCTCATTCGGATTCAGTTGGTGCTCCATCAGGGACGGCATCAACGACTGCGATACGTTTCTATGATATCCAACACCAGTCAGCATCCGCTTCTGGATCTGTTTGCATTGGTGGCCAACAAGGCAATCGCGATTGCTATTCACAGTCCGGCCAGTGCACAGACTATTTAGATGGACAGCACTCACAGCAAGTGCTGAACAGTCTGAATCGTTTTCGATTGCACAATTTTATGTGTGACATCGAAATTGAGGTGCGATTCGAACAGATCTTGAATTGTTTGTTTGTTCATTTTGCGTGTGTCTTAAATGAGCAGCTTCGATTAATTAGAGTTAGTTGCTCATTTGAGTGTAGCTGACTGCGAGGATCTCATAATGGGAGTTTGATCGCGGATTAAACTGAGTGATATTCAATAATGTTCATGGACATTAAAAGTTCGATAGAGACAATCGAACTCGCATTTAGCAAACTTACTAACGATAAGTCGACTCGAATGTAACCCATTTAACAAAGCTTATTGTGTTAATAAAATGGTGAAACTGAAGACAACTTGCCCTTGATAGGTCGAAGGAAATATTTTCGCTGCTCATCGTTGTGTGCTAGCAGCGGCAATCCCGTACTTCAACTCAATGTTCATGTCGGATATGCGTGAAGCTCGACAAAAACGAGTCGTCATCCAGGTGCTTTCCATCGTTACCAGCAATATATCCTCTTATTGAGTACCACACATCAGATTCGATTTTGACTGAAATGAATTAAGGATATCCCAGCCAATGCATTCCGACAACTTCTTGAATTTGCCTATACAAGCCATGTGAGTATCAGCGGTGATAATGTACAACAGCTTCTTTACACAGCCAGCATTCTACAGGTTTGGAAGTTTTGAAAGGCACATGCACACTTTTGTTAGAGATTACAAATTCCAGATAAGTTGTGTGAACCGTGCGAGTAGTTTTGAAGAATTCAAGGTGAATTTGAAGAGAGAAATTTGTTGGCTTAGGATGAATGGGAGAAAAAGACAAACGAGATTTGTATTAATTAAATTGAGTAAGATTAACAACGAATTCGTTGTAATTATTGAATGAACTGTCATGAACAAGTTCAGTAAAATGAACTAACAATTCAGATGGATACAGTTTGTGCAGCATGCCAGAGTTTTCTGATTCAAAACCTGACCATATTGAACTGCTTATCAATCAGACAGTTTGCCGAGCAGTACAATTGTGTGGCACTTTTATCATCGGTGGATGACTTTGCAATGGAACACTTTGCGGTAATTTGTAGTGATTTTGATTGATTAATGCCAGTTTTGTGGTCATCATCATAGTATGTTCGCGTGTGAAAATATTGAGTGTTCGTGACGATATTATGATGATGGTGTATTTAGAAATATTTTCCAGGAACTCCGTAAGCTACCTGAATTTTTAATGATACCAATTGAACATTTACTGGATATGTTACGGAGTAGTGATTTGAAAGTGAACAACGAACAAGAAGTGAGTGAAGTTGAATTGTTTTGAATGTTCACTTTGAGTATTTCGATTCGAAATTTTTTGAATTGCATTTGGATGATTGCAATGAGGATCGGTGATTGGTAATTGATGGAATCCGATATAATCGTTACTTGCAATGAATCAATTGAATTATCGTCATTTCTAGAGCATTTTCATCACAAGTTCTGATCAGTCACAAAGAAAAAAGTTTCTGAATCGAGTGGAATGAATTCGAATGTGCAACTTTAAAGTATGTTCGGAAATGTGAGTTAGATAGAAAAGGCGATTTCATGTTTGAAGGTATTCGAACTAGCAATGGAATGGGTAGGGAAAGCTGAACAAGAGCGTAAAAAGCATCTGCCCGAAATTCTGGCCAATATTCGACTGCCTCTATTGCCGATCACGTATTTCTTGAATGAAGTCATCAAGCATCCACTTGTTGTGGTCTGTTACACCTTTGTCTTTCGAACGTTTTCTCAAGTGATGAGAGTTTCTCACAAACATAGCTGATTATAGGCTGAGAAATGCCGTTACATGAGTTACGTATAACCGAAGATTAATTGAAAATATTTGATTCATTGCTTCGTATTGCTGGAGATTTTAAACTATCGGTTGGAACAGTTACGATACGAATGCATTCTGCATCGTGCAGTCCACAAAAATGAAGTTTTCTTATTGTCATCATTTACGAAAAACTACGGAAGCATGCTGAAATGAATCTCGCCTGGGAAAAAAACTGAGAAATTCGATGAAGCCATCCAGAGAAATGAGTGAATTCAGGAGAATGTTCGTTGTCGTGACCTGGTCGGCGAAGCGATGAGCGAGATAATGCGCACTCGATTAACGTCGAACATCCCGGCCACAACTCCTCCACTTTATCCATCAGAATCCTCCTATACCACATCCTGTTCATCAACACAGTCTCTGAATACAATTTCCACTACTCTAAACTCTACAGCTCCTCGGAGTTTCACCTTATCAACTAGTGGTCTTCTTCCAGAACAGGGTTCGGTTGTTTTTGAGGCAGAAATAAACGTCTTATTGCAGATTGATGATTAATCTGCTCATATGATATTTTGCGTAGTATTGAAGACAGCATTTCGTGGATAATTTGAGTGATTATGATATATACATGCATATGTTTGACAGATGCGAATTTAGGTGAAGAAATGCAACAAGCGAATAGTTCCATTAAGAAAATATCGAAAGTTTCTGCGCAGCAGACAAATCTATGGAGTAACTGCCGACCAAGAAAGAGTGCAGCTGGTGTAATATTTTGCGTCGGTGGTCGAGGTTGGTAATCAATAGGTGTTTTCATTCCTTGTTTGTTCACAATTGATGGAGCATGATTGAAAAGAATAGTCAAATTCGTTTAATTCAGGAGATTTGAATTTCAGAAAAGCTTCTGATTAAAATAAAGAGTATGCCTTGATGTCGTTGATTACGATACTTATTACTAACGTTATAACGCATGAAGTATTGGTGTGAATCATTGCATATGCACGGATATAAAGGCTCATTCAGACACAATCAGTAATCTTCTTGTAAACGTTTGGAAATTTGAGGAACATCTGGAGATCCGTTTCGTTCTGTGGAAGCGTTCGATTGGCGTCGTAATCGCTGGTTACCAGTCAGCGATATGAATGTTCGCAGAAGGCACGTTGGCGTTGTGAGTGCTCAAGGGAAACTGTTAGTTTTACGGGAAAAGTGTTTTGTGTTTTGAGCAAATTCGTATGATGTTAAATATTCACAGAAGTAGTGCTGAATTAAGCGTGAACTCATCTTTAAGCTACGCAATCGGTGGTCACGACGGAACGAATCATTTGGATTCAGCGGAGTGTTTCGATCCCGAAACAAATATGTGGCATACAGTCGAGTCGATGGACACTCATCGCAGAGGGATAGCCGTTGGTGCATTGGAAGGTGCGATATATGCTGTGGGGGGTTTGGATGATACGGCTTGTTTCCAGGTGGGTTTTGGGTAGATTCATGGAAACTGTCACATCGTTTAGTTATGTGATTATGTGAAGTGCGAAGTTGCAGACAGTGGAACGTTATGATATCGAGTCGGATAAATGGTCATCGATTGCACCGATGAATGTTCAGAGAGGTGGTGTTGGTGTGGCTGCGTTAGGTTAGATTTGTGGCTTTTGATGAGATCATTTTCCGAACGCTCTGAAAGCAGTCGAGCAAAAAAAAAATTGTTGATTTGAGATTGTTTCATCGACATTCTGTGAAATTTTCACACTGTGAGCAACGGAAAATATTCTGAATCAATGAAATTTTCACACTCGAAAAATTTTATGCAGGAAAATATTTGTTTGCTGTTGGTGGTAACGATGGTACATGTTCACTGGATTCATGTGAACGCTATGATCCGCTTCTGAACAAATGGAAAATGGTGGCTAATATGCAGCATCGAAGGTTTGATTTGGGCTCAGAATTGGAGACATTTTGTGTTTTGATTCACTAGCATCAATACTCCAGTGGCAACAATGAGTGAAATTTAGAGATACTGATGATAGCAGCAATGAGTTGTTTGACAGAAGTAGTGGCATGAAAAGTAACAATTTTCGGCATTTATTCGCACTCTGTTATAAAATTGAAACACAAAGGATTGATATCTCACATGCACAAAGGGATAAAATCATCCAAGCTGTACATACGCAAGTTCCACTTCATCATCATTTCATCATGCGAATGAATAAGGCAGTATACGATGATCATGCAAGCACAAATGGATAAAATGATCATGCAAGAGTACATACAAATGTTCCATTTCATCATGCATATCTTATATCCTGATACACATCTCATCTCATACGTAAACAGCTAATGTATAAAACAAAAGGTTGATTCATAGAGCACTTTTGTTCAGAGATCTTATCCCCTTGACGAATCGTATCGTTCGCGCCTTGTCGCGACAACAAATTCAGTTGAATGAATATCGCATATCATTTGGTCTGCGAGCAATTCGGTTTGCAGTGTAGTTTTTATATTGGGTAGTTAAGGGCTGGTGCTGGTATAACGGTGCTTGACGGATGTCTGTATGCGATTGGTGGATTTGATGATAACGCTCCACTGCCGTCGTGTGAGCGATACAATCCCGAAGATAACTCATGGACTTTACTTGCTCAAATGTCATGTCCCCGAGGTTTATTTCGTTGACTGATTTACAATGTTATTGACTGGAATAGCGAAACAAATCGATCTTGAATCTGATAACAAATTTCCCAGAGAATCAAAAACTGAAAGGAGAAAATTCTTAAAGAGGAGAACGCTAGTCCAATTCTAAAATTTTGGTGTGAGAGTGAGGTATTTTCAACTGATCGATCCTTTAATCGATTCCGGATGGAAGGTGTTTCACTTCGAGTTGAATTTTAACCGGTAACGTCGCGCTGAGCAGCTAATGGAATGGAATACTTCAGGTGGAGTGGGTGTGGCGGCAATGGGTGGACGAGTCTATGCGATCGGAGGGCATGACGGGGTTAGATATCTGAATTCAGTTGAAGCCTATGAACCACTCACAAACCAGTGGACTCCAGTGGCATCGATAAGTCAGTGCAGGTTTGTGCTCGTTTCGGTCGGACATTCGTCTCGATTTTTATATTCGAAGTGTATTTGTGGAAATTTTGCAGGGCTGGTGCGGGCGTAGCATGGGCCGACTGTCGTGTGGATTGTTTGTTGCGTCCTCCGTCGATGGCGATATCCAAAGATAGTGGCTGTGCTCCATGCCTCACGGGCGTTGCACACTGTGTTTGAATTCCTTTCCAAATCACTAGAATGCATCAAATGAAAATTCGGAAGCCTGAGATTGCACACGATTCTGTGTCTCATCGCTTCACGATTCATTCCACGAACTGAAGTATTGTTCGGTGGGAGAGCAAACTTTTTAAGTTGTCATTGATTGATTTCATTTCCTTTAATGAATTTCGTTTCTTTTAATCACCCACCACGTTTCCTTTAATTAATTTTCAATAACTACTGTACGATATATGTTTTTCATATAGAGCAATTTACATAATCGCACGTATGTAACCTTGATCGTCATTCATAGTAATTTATGTTGTTCCGTTGCCCCGGTCAAGATCTCACATCAGTCACTTTTGTAAGTTTGGTTGTATTACAACTGTATGAGAGTTTGATTCAATGGGCATTTTTCACATGGATTGAGAGTGTAACTGTTTGAGTACATTTTATCGCATTTATTTGATTTAGTGCAATCGCTATGTTATCAGTACTCTTATGATTAACATTATCGGTAGTCTCGTTACATACTATGGATTGACAACTTCTCTCTGTTTTCGGGATTGATTATATAAGGTCTCAATCAAATCGAAGTACGATGCATTTTTGCCTAAAAAGAACCTGTCTGAAAGTTTACTTCAAGAGCTGGAATCTGTTTCTGAATGTTTTTCCCATATAGATGTCACTATTGCTATTGAATTCATTCCGTCAGAATTCATCAATTCAAATGCTTTCAAAATTTAACACTTCTGGTCACAGTACTGCTATTCTTCCTTAATGTTTCATCAGTGTTATTAAAATTTTCATGGTAAAATTCGGTGTTATTCAGCTAATTAATTTCATTTTTCGTGTATTATTTCAGTGAATCGTTGGCTGTCTTTAATGCGTTCATTTATGATGATGATGTTCGAATGAAATATTCTCTTGAAACAATAAAGATTTTATTCTTTAATCAGCGATTACATCCATTCGCTATGAGTTGTTCAAATACATTTATTTACCATAATATCTCTTGTATGAGATCACCACATTACGCAAAAATTTTGAATTCCAACAGTTCATCAGAAGCTGTTCAAAGTTAGATTTAGTGATGCTGAACCGCTTCAAATTTGATCAGTTAACAAGCTTCGCAATTGAGTGAATCAGTTGATCCAAATAATGATCCAGCAGTAATCGCTCGTTCACGACGATTGTTTCAGTTAATTGCATTTCAAAGAGATTAGAGGCTAGCACAATAGACAATGTATTCTTGAAGGAGTAAATCAAACTGAACATATCGTAAGCAGTCAAGCTCTTGTCAGCATTACAGTACGAATAAAATGATAGACACTATTGGGTGATGTAATAAGTTTTATTGTTTGTATACAATATACAGGTCTGTACACAAAAGCTTCAGTTGATCACTCATTCATCGTTCTTATAGTACATTGTTGATGTGAAGCTGAATTGTTTGGTATTTTGTGTGCATTTATTTATGTTGAATTGTCTTATGACACAGCCTGTAAGAATCAGAAAAGCTTGCGTTCATAGAGATGTATTTACATAAATTCATACTATGCGTATCTATTTGTATTTGTTACTGTACAGGTATGGTGGATTAATAGACGAATTTAAGTATAAACATAACTGAGGAAAGCAAGCAGGTAGAAGGGCATTAAATGTGCACTACATACAACAATGAAATGTTGATTCATCGGTAGAAGGAGCATCGTTTCTATTGAATATGCGCATGTTTTCGGTTTTGTTAGAATTATTGTTATCACAATACACTGACTATTGTGTATTTCGATAATTGTGCTGTTTGTTGTTGATAATGATAGTGATATGAACATTATCAGTGTTCAGGAATGATGAAGGAGAATGAACGAACACGACGAGTTGAAAGCTGAGGGAGGACGAGCGATTTTGTCTAGCGAGTCAAAGAAGTGAGACGAAAGGAATGAGAAGAATGAAAAGAAACGAGTCGAAATAAAGGATCGAAAGGAATGCATTTGAATGGCATCTGTTTTTTCATGTATTTACTTATTAAAACGTTTTTTATAACAATAACAAACACAAAACGATAAAGTTGCACTAAACCACTGCAATAACGCATTATGAATGAACTAGGATTGACGATGGCATTCATCCACTTCTGATATGAATTGATCTGAGCGTGTGATTCATTCACACCACTTCAGTCATTCGTTTCATTTCGCTATCAATTTTTCTGAATCCAGCCAGCGAATATCCTTGCTTCTGCCATCCACACTCACTATTGCTATCCATCCACACAGATAAGCAACAAACAGGATAACAACGATCTGGGAAAATAGATGTGAATAAATAAAGGTAGCGTGTATGAACGTTGATGTAGCAAATGTTATGAATAATCAGTCAGTGAATCAATGAATTAATAATATAGAACGAATGTAACAAATGAAATAAATAAATAAAATATATTGCAGAATATCGACAACGATAACGATGCGAATAACATGAACGAACTGAGCAGGTTTCTGTCAAAGATCGCACATTGCACGTTATTGCTGCATCGATTCGTGTGCATGAATGTGTACAGTTCGTATGCACAAACGTATATTATAACTACTACCTACTTATCTTCCTTACCCCTACAGTCACTCATCATGCATACCTTTCTATTCATCGTCATCATCATCATGCGTTTATATTGATATATTCATTAAGAACACCTTGAGACGGCCGTCTTCTGCAATGCGCAATCAATTTGACCACTTCAAGTGAATCGTTTTTAATTGAAACAAAACGAATCCAATCGAATTTCATTCCACTGATGACGAGTCGTTCATTGTTTTATATTGCGACTTAACTTACTTATTGTTTATAAATCTTAATATAGCTTTAAATCAAATCCATTTGTTGTTTATATACCTTTACGTATATATTATATTTGCACATCCACATACCTTTGCAATCATACTCATTACAGCATACCTTTCCTTCGTTTACATTGCACTACACTGTATTGATTCACTCATTTCTTCATTCGTTATTATTATTAAAGTAATTTTTGTTATTATTATTATGTTATCACTATTCTATCATTCATATTATTTATGTCATATAGTTGTTCACTGATAAATGCATTTATCATTATGCATGTCATTATATGTATGAGTTATTATTATCATTGTATGAAGAACATTCCATTACACCGAGATTCTTAATGCATTCTTCGATAAATTATAAATGTCTTAAGATAAATATCGCACTGATTGTCTCATTGAGAACATATTCTCATGCTTTCAACTGAAGCACTTGAATGCAATAAACTAATATCGTACAGATGATAGGAACTCATGCAGTGGCAATGAAATATGCTTGTGCACGTGCTACGTTCCATTTATTAACAGTTTTCTTAGCTGTTTCATAGTTAGATTGATGATGTAGTAAGGTATTGAAATCAATAGGTAAACAGCGATTGCATTGAATTGATTGACTGCATACCTGGGGGGTTGATTGCGTTACATTATGTATCATTCATGATGTTTTTATTGCTACTCTTGTTGATGTTATCATTAGGGTTTTCATTTCACATAACTATTGCGTTTTCTTATTATTAGTGTTGGTATTGGTCTTAATGATATTTTTTGTATTGTTATTGTCATTCTTAGTATGGATATGATTATTGCTATGGTTATTACTTGTACTGGTAACGAACACAATTACATTTGAGAATAAATGCAAACATATGATCGCATATGTTGATAAGATATATCTTGCGATCGTGATTCGACGTGAAGGGACGTTTTTTGCAGAAATATTCGATGAATTTTCAGAATGTGTTGTTTGTTATCAGATGAACGAGCGATGGGCAGTGAACTGAGATGTAATGTGTGAAAGTCGATTTCGCTGCTCGATTAGAAATCATTTTGGTGAATTTCTTATTTCGTTTTATTTCCATATCATATCCATGAATAGTATTCTTGACCAGTCTATCTATCTCTTTGATCTGCTTCAATCGTATAACTTTGATCCATACCATTC